TTTTTTTAATGAATGTATTAATGTTATGCTTTCAAAGTCACAGGTCTTAGTAAACTTGTGTTGCAAATTTGAAACATTCATATCAGAAGCAATGTCCTTACAGTGGTGGCATCTTGACCTTGTCCTGTGTTTCCTTTTAATGTAATTTCAGTGATTTATTTTTGTAGTTTGACTTTATTAATGATAATTTTGGTGTTTATTGCACTGATTTGTTGTTAATACAATCTCACCTCATTATGCAGACTTCCACATTTGTATTCTCTCTACATCAAACACCAGAGTGGACTTAACTTTGCTATTTTTGACAGTGTTAATGTTAATATTTCTCTTCCTAATGTCAAAAACAAGCTCCAGACTATGTAAGGTGCTTAGAGTTTCATGCAGAAATATTATTTAATTAAAACTTTTAATGTCATGGATGTTCCTAAATAATCATGAAAAAGTCACATTCACTTTGCCTTTACAGAGGCACATGTAATATAGGTGCATATAAGACAATAACACTTGCATTTTTTGAAACCCAGTCTCATACAGAGAAGCACAAGGAAAAACATGTAAAGGTGAAATGGTAGATGGTGGCACTTCCAAAGACAAACATTCCTTTTGATAAATTTTTCTAGAAAAAATGGCAAATATTTTCTGGTTTCAGCTTCTGCAATATATGGATTTGGAGCTTGTTTGTGTCATATGTAATGAATCATGTTTGGTTTTGATCTGTTGGTCAGATTAGAAACGTATTGTAAGGATATTGCTTTGGGCTGCCCATGGCCTTTTGATGTTTCATAGACAAAATAACTGATTGATTGATCAAGAACATATCCAGCAGATTAATTCTTGGCTACAGCCCTAATACATAACTTGCTTCCTGGAAGAATGAAAGATCATAATATACTCTGAAGAGATTTCTGGAAATTTGGATTAAAGCATATTGGAGACCAGATGTGCTATCAGTATTTCAAAGTGGTTGTATATAATCTTACTCTTTCATGTTCATCCAAAATGGCATTAACTTTTGCTGAGTTCTACCAAGCAATCTTGACTAAGGAATTTACATGACTCCGTGCTAATTCAAGCCTGTCCTTTATGTCTCTTAGTGCTTCCATTTGTAGACAAACTGACTAGATAAAATTTTTCTGACAGAGTTCTTATGACTCACCTTCAAACAGCACCAGTTTGTCACCACAATATCTTTTTTTCATACAAAGTTCTCAATTCATAGGTCACAGCTTACATTGGTTCTTACAAGTACAGTAATACACATGCACACAGCTTGCCTCGTGATTCTCCGGGTCCTAGTTAAACAGAGGACACTAGCTCAATCGCCTAGCAGCAGCGGCTGCTGCCAGCTGATAGCAGTTTGATCTTCCTTCCTGCAGCCAAATCCATGCTAATACTTAAGCTCTGTTTCTCACCAGCACCCCACATCCCAGATTAATTTCTCTCAGTTAATCATTTTACATCGTTTAACCTATCTCGGTCTCATGTTTTTGAAAATATGCCTCTCTTTTTTTTTTTTTTTTTCATAATTTTGTACTCATCTTCCCTCTGACAGTTTTTCCTCCTCTCTGCTCCTCTACCTTTCTGGGGTTTTTTTATAATCTCTCCCTCCTATTCCTTCAAGTCTTTATGTATTTTCCTAACATTTTCCCCACTCGATCCTTTCAGCCATATGAGGGACTGAAGCTTCAGGACCTGCGCAGACTGAAGGACATGCTGATTGTAGAGACAGCAGACATGCTGCAAGCCCCCCTCTTCACTGCTGAGGCCCTGCTTCGAGCACATGGTGTGTGCTTGTCAATTAGAGAATGGTGACATCATCCATTTGTGACCTTTGTGAATCCTTGCAGCAGTCTGCCCTGATTCCCTGTCTCTAAACTTGTGTGCAACCACCTCCCTCTTTCAGACTGGGACAGAGAAAAGCTTCTTGAGGCCTGGATGTCGAATGCTGAGGGCTGCTGTCAGCGCTCAGGCGTGGCCATGCCTACCCCACCACCCAGTGGCTACAACGCGTGGGACACCCTACCCTCACCTCGTACCCCCAGGACCCCGCGTTCACCCCTCACACTCACCCTCACCTCCCCCACCGACAGCTGCCTCACACCTGGAGAAGAGGACCTGGCTATGGTGAGATACCGAGTGGTGAAATTAACTCTTGAAGAGCCATGGGCAATCTTTCTAGCATTAATTCTTCCCTCTGCTCTTTGTAATTGTACATAATTGTACTTATAATTTATCTGCATGCAAATTTTGGCAGTTTTACTTTCAGTTTTTTTAAATGTTCATACCAGGCTACTTCTCACTGAACACTTAGACCGATAAGCCATAACATTGTGACCAGATGCCTAACACTATGTACATAAAAGTCAGTGCTGCATTTGGTCGGCACTTGTGTCTGTCCTTCCTTAGACCACTGTTGGTAGGTACTGACCACTGCAGACCAGGAACACCCAATAAGACCTATGGGTTGGGAGATGCTCTGACCCAGTCGTCAGTTTGGCCCTGGTCAAAGTTGCTTACTCTTAAGCTTGCCCATTTTTCCTGCTTCCAACACATCAGCTTTGAAGGCTAAATGTTCACTTACTGCCTAATATACCCGCACATACTGACAGGTGCCAGTGTAACGAGATAATTAATATTCAATTCACCTGTCAGTGGTCATAATGTTATGGCTGATTGAAGTATATGCACAAGATAAAGGATGTTTAGGTGTATTTTAGGCAATGTATAGGATTTAATATTACTTTAAAGCATGGAGTTTGGAAAAATATGCCACAGTATATTCCCTCAAAACCCACTGTGGAACTGACACAACCTTCTTTAGCACAGTCACAGTCAGTTTTATGTTGTCCTTCCCCTGCATGTAATGACGGAGATGGTATGGCAAAAAATACTGAATTTCAGCTAAATTAAATACATGTTTGTGTAAGTGCTGTTATGCTATCATACATTGTAGATCATGTAATTTGTCTCTCTTGTTTACCTGCAGTGTGGAATCTGTTTCTGCTCCATCTCTGTCTTTGAGGATCCGGTGGACATGTCATGTGGCCATGAGTTCTGCAGAGCCTGCTGGGAGGGGTAGGGGCCTGTGTTGGTGTGTGTCAGTATTCCTGCATCCTTCAGTGTCTTACTGTTTGTCTGCTAGATTTTTGTTTTTTGTGTATATGTGTGTTTTTCTCAGGTTCCTAAATGTTAAGATTCAGGAGGGTGATGCACACAATATCTTCTGCCCGGCGTATGAGTGCTACCAGTTGGTGCCGGTACATGTGATAGAGGGTGTGGTTTCCAGAGAGATGGACCAGCGGTACCTACAGTTTGACATCAAGGTAGACAACATATACTCACAGAAAAATTTGGCACATGACAGCTTGTGTGTCGTCGCCCCTTAACTACTTCCTACATATTTGTATGAGCTTTTGTTAGTTTCTTCCTGAGGTCCTTCTCTTCTTTCTCTTTTGTCATTTTTCTATGTCCTCTCATTTCACCATTTTTTTTCCCCAGGCATTTGTGGAGAACAATCCTGCCATCCGCTGGTGTCCTGCAGCACGTTGTGAACGGGCAGTGAGGCTAACCCGACCAGGTCCTGGAGAGAGTGATTCACACAGCTTCCCCCTGCTGCCCTCACCAGCTGTTGATTGCGGCAAGGGTCACCTCTTCTGCTGGTACATGTCATTGTTTATTGTACAGTGAGGAACAGAAGTATTTGAACACCCTGCGATTTAGCATGTTCTCCTACTTAGAAATCTTGAGGGGTCTGAAATTCACATTGACACGATGAGTGAAGTTTAGACCAAAAAGTTCTACTTTGGTCTCATCTGACCACATGACTTTCTCCCATGCCTCCTCTGGATCATCCAGATGGTCTTTGGCAAATTTCAGATGGGCCTGGACATGTGATGACTTGAGCAGGGGAACCTTCCGTGCAATGCATGATTTGAAACCATGACAGCGTAGTGTTCTACCGACAGAACTGTGGTCCCAGCTCTCTTCATGTCATTGACCAGCTCCTCCCTTGTAGTTCTGGGCTGATTCCTCACCTTTCTTATCATCAGTGATACCCCACGAGGTGAGATCTTGCATGGCGCCCCAGTCCGAGGGAGACTGACAGTCGTCTTTAGCCTCTTCCATTTTCTAACAATTGCTCCAACAGTTGATCTATTTTCACCAAGCTGCTTGGCAATTGCCCTGTAGCCCTTTCCAGCCTTGTGGAGGTCCACAATTTTGTCTCTGGTTTTCTTTTGACAGCTCTTTGGTCTTGCCCATGGTAGTAGTTGGCGTCTGACTGACTGTGGGGTGGACATGTGTCTTTAAAGAGCTCAGACAGGTGCTACTAATTTAGATTAATGAGTGGAGTAGAGGTGGACTTTTTCAAGGCACAGTAACAGGTCTTTGAGAGCCAGAATTCTTGCTGTTTCTCAGGTGTTCAAATACTTATGTTCAGCAGTGCAAGACAAATAAATTCTTTAAAAATCATACAATGTGATTTCCTGAAAAAAAATTTTAAATTCTGTCTCTGAGTGGGAATGCATCTACAATATGAATTTCAGACCCCTCCATGATTTCTAAGTGGGAGAACTTGCAAAATCGCAGGGTGTTCAAATACTTCTGTTCCTCACTGTATGCAGTTATGTTACACATGTTAGCTTTATCTCAGTTGAAGGGCTGCATACTTTGAAAAACCCCGTCTATGAAGGTGTGGATGTAGACATTGTAGACAGCAAAGGAAGAACCGAAATTAGATTTTCTGGTCTACAGTTCCCTATATGTGTTGCCAACTGTTTCTGTCTTTATTGTTGCGTTAAGTGCTGCTCCTGTTACCTAGCAGCCTTAACAGCTGCTCTGCTCTCTGCCAGCACACAAAGAATCTTGGGATAGAGTGGGTTGTGAAGGATCCACCAGTTGGAGCCTTTGTTGCCCAGCGAAAGGAGGACACATTTCTTGGCCACATTGGAAGGAGTCTTCGAAATGGGATGGCCTTGTCACAATGCTGTGACGCAGTTGGTCTTCAAATGCAGCCTTTTGAAGGATGCATCCCCTGAGTTTGGACACAGCTATAGTCATCTCTTCATAGATACAGTATAAACACTCAACACATTTTATTGACATGTCATTTAGTAAAGCCAGATATAAATCTTTTCTTGCTCGAGCGTATTTTTGTTCACTCAAGGTTCCAACAGCATTAACAAGTTGTTTTTTTTTTGAAAACTATGTTGAAAATGTCAGTTTTCGTTAGTACAGCACACAAAACTGACTTAAAACCTAAAATATTTTTCTGGCCAGGCCAGGCCAGAAAAATAATTTCTCTTCAGCTCTGACTTCATTCTGTGGTGTACTCTTGTCTTTCTAGGAAAGA